TCTGTATGTTGGGCTCTATGTTGGTACCGGTGACACAAATACAAAAGCCTCTTTTCTGAAGGAGTTCAATGTGAGTGGCACCACTCCAATCGCTATAGTACAGCACACTGCCTCTGCTATCACTCCTCAGGCATTTATTTTAGGTTTCATCCCCACAGCTGAATTATGGGTCTGACTTTTTCTTCTTTCTATTGATGTGTAACACTCATGCAGGAAAAGTGCAGTTGCAAGTGCACAGCTCCATGAGTCATCAGAGAGTGAACACACCATGTAAGCAACACCCAGATCAAGACAGGACATGACGGGCCATCAGAGACCCCTCTCCCACTTTGTGTTCCTTCCCAGTCATTACCTTTCCCCAATAGTGAACCACCTTCCTGACTTCAAAACTGCTCTGCAGAGAGTCACACCTTCAGGTTTCCTAGCTGCGTGCTGGTCTCCAGCTGAGAGAACCTCAAGGAGCCAAGCTGAGAAATGTGATGAGATCAGGCGTGATGAGAAGTGCCTGGACCATGATACTGGTCTGGTGTTTGGCACCATGTCTGTGTGGCTCCATTTAAGCCTGCTTTGACTTTTTCAAAGGAAAAACCAGAGCAAAGGCAGCCTTCCCGTTGGTCTGAACAGGTCTCCATCCAGAAATTTGTCTCCAGCCTGTCCAGTGCAAGGCCAGGAACTCCCTTGCTTGGCCGGCCTGGCTCCTATAATGTTTTATGAAGACAAGCATGTTAGCAAAAGAAGGCCCTCTTGTACCTTGAAGTGGTGAGCATTAGCCAGGAAATAGCTTAGCAGGATTGAGTATAGTTAATGTTCTCTAAGTTTTCCTCTCTCATGTGGAGGGTTCAGGATCTTGGGAGAATGGGAAAGAGATGGGTAGGTTTTGCCAGAACCATCCAGGACATTGCGGTGGGGAATTTTGATCAGTCATGAAGGGAGATCCTCTGAGGGAACTGAGAGAGAATAGCAAAGTAATTGTTCCAGTTATCTATTGCTGCATAGCAAACCTCGCCAAATGTAGTGATGTAAAACAACACTCATTTTATATGTTCACGGAGATCATGGATCAAGAATTCGGATGGGGTATATTAGGGGTGGCTTATTTCAGCTCCATGATGCCTGGTGTCTCAGTTGAGAACATGAGCAGAAGGAGACTGGGATCTTCTGGAAGCTTCTTCACTATGTGGCTGGCACCTGGGCTAGGATGATGTGAAGGTTTACCTAAGCTGAGACTGTCAACAGGCAGCCCACACACAACCTCTCCATGTGGCCTGGGCTTTTCTTTTTTCTTTCTTTATTTCTTTTCTTTTTTTTTTTTTTTGTTTGCAGAAAGTGATTTATTTAGAGAGAAACAGAACAGGAGAAGGAGAGAGAAAGAAACAGCTAACTCTTACACTGAGTGAGAGAATCCAGAAAGATTGAATCCAGGAGAGGAAAGCAGCTTCCATGAAAGTGTTTGTGGAAGGGGACCCAAACATGGAGTCCCGGCCTGGGCTTTTCATAGCACAGAGGCTGGGTTTTGGAAAGGAGCATCACTAAAGAGAGAGTCTCGAGAGCAAGTGTACCAAGAGACCCAGGCAGAAGTTGCATGACACTTTCTGAACTAGCTCAGAAGCCACAGGGTGTAATTTTTGCCACATTCTATTGGTTACAAGTGAATCACTAAAGACAACCCACATTCCAGCAGAGAAGAATTAGACTCCATCTCCTGTGGGATGGGAGCTTTTGTTGCAGCCGTCTTTGCAAAATACTGTCTGCCACAGTAGCTGACAGCCAGGACTCTGCAGTAAGGCACACCTGGTTCCATTTCCTGGATCTGATGCTTATTAGCCATGTAACCTAGGGTAAGTTTCTTTTTTCTTTTTTTTTTTTTTTTTTTTTTTTTGAGACGGAGTTTCGCTCTTGTTACCCAGGCTGGAGTGCAATGGCGCGATATCGGCTCACCGCAACCTCCACCTCCTGGGCTCAGGCAATTCTCCTGCCTCAGCCTCCTAAGTAGCTGGGATTACAGGCACGCGCCACCACGCCCAGCTAGTTTTTTGTATTTTTAGTAGAGACGGGGTTTCACCATGTTGACCAGGATGGTCTCGATCTCTCGACCTCGTGATCCACCCGCCTCGGCCTCCCAAAGTGCTGGGATTACAGGCTTGAGCCACCGCTCCCGGCCCCTAGGGTAAGTTTCTTAACTACTCTGTGTCTCACTTTCCACATAAGGAAATTGGAATAATAGTAATTCTGACCACATAGCATTAATGTGAGAATTCAGTGATATGAGCCATGTATAGTGTTTGTAGAACGCTTGGCACATCATAAGTGCTCATAAATGTCACTTTTAACAAAGACTCAAGGAAGTGATTGCTCAAGACCAGCCTTACCTGTGACACATTTCCTTAGGTCTGCTGTCTGTGAAAAAGTGGGCCACAAAATTCCCATACCAGGTTGTATAACAGCCCAGGATCCACTAGCAGTTAATAGGGATTATGGAGACCAAGCACTAGGGTACAGCACTTTACAGTTTACAAAGCACTTTATACTCATCCTTTGTTTAATCATCCAAAAAAGTATGTGGACCACATAGGACTCTTCCATTTTAGAGATAAGGTTTACCAAGGTGTGACCTACCCAAGGTTACAAAGCTAATGCATTATAGAGAAAGGTTATGACCCCAGAGTTCCACTCTAAAGTCCGTTATTCTTATCTTTTCTAATGATCTCCAGAACATTGTAAAGTTATCAAAGGAAAAGTACAATTTAGTTAAAATGTAATAAATTTAAAAGGTGTCCGCTAACCCTAACAGAAGTGGGAGAAAAAAGGAGGCTAGATTTCCGAAAGCCATGGAATGTCATAGCCAGAGCCAGCAGACAACTGCCAAGCATAAAAGGGGACTTCAAGTTGTCACTTTTTTTTCAAAAAACTCAGAGGCATTCTTTAAAAATGCCCGAGAATGCTTTTCAAATTTCATAGCTAATCCTTCGGCCAAACAGCGCCTTCTACTCTGAGAACTCCAAATTCTCTAATCACCCCTCACTTCTCAAAACCGATAAACTAGCGATGCCTTCTTCCTTCTGTCTTCCTTCAGATTTCAGTCCACCCACATCAACATCAAAATGCACAAATGCTGGAAAGGCTTTGTAAATCCTGACTTTCTGGTGTTTTCCATTTATGTGACAGGAGGAAGGATGACACTTCCGTTCATTTTTGGAAACAAACCAAAACACCCATAAATATTCAAGCTTATAATATTGACTTAAAGCTCAGTTAGAGCCCAGGCTGCCATCAGCTCTTGATTATCCATGTGTAACTTATCCACAGCTAATTTTAAAACTCAAAATTACTTCCTTATTACTTGTGGTGCACCCTTGGCCTCCTGTGCAGGTGTCAGCTCAGGACACAGTGAGAGGAAATGGAAGTGTGCCGAGTCAAGGGTCTGACTACTAGGAGTCTGCTCTTGACACACTCCTGATTAGCTGGGTGACCTTGAGCACATATTTTTACCTGCTGGGACCTCCTATGTTTTTCAACTATAAAATGAAAATTTTCGCTTTATGTTTTTAAAGATCTCTTCCTGCTCTAAAATTCCATGAGGTAGCAAATTAGTCAAAAGAAATGGGAAGAAAAGTCTACTGCAAAGATCCCGCATTGAAATCAGTAGTCCAAACCACCCATTTCCCCAATGAGATATTGTGTGGCCTCAGAACTACTGAGCAGCAGATGTAAGCCTAGCACCCAAGAAGACTCCAATAGTTATTTCATGAAATCCAAGGCCAAACACACAAGATTTCTGTATTTTCCAAATTATGTTTCTCTTCAATGAGTGCAGTCAGCTGTGTCTGAACGTGGAAAAGGCTCTTTCTGTGTTTTTCAGAATGTTGGGTTGCCTTTCTGATGAAGCCAAGGTGGGGATTCAGAGCTGTGTGTCTGTGGGAGCCAAGACCACTGCCTACTTTCCCACCCCTGAAAAGATCCAATGCAGGAATCAGCCAGAAAGCTGTTGAGTCTTCTTCCCTTCCCCTCTTCTCTCTCCCAACCCTGGCCATTCTCACAAGCTAGAAAAGATCCTCTTTGTCTTACAAAGGAGAAATCTTTGATGTCTTCTTACTCCTGTCTTAAATACCTAAGCTTTTCTTACAAAAGGAAGGAAGATCCATGGAGTGATGGTGGGAAGGGGCATTAAAGTAGGATGAGAAGTGGGTGTGATGAGATCCCACCACCATCCTCTTTGATCTAATGCATTTCAAGTGTAAGCTCTGTGCTTGGCACCAGAGTGATAAGGAACAGACATCATCTAGATTATTAAGAGGTCTTGGATTTGGGAAAGAGTAGGGAGAGACATATGTGAACATGAGATTCATAAAGTATCATAGATGCTACAAAAGAAAGACACATAGGACCAAAGGGTATGGTGGGGGCACAGAGGAGAAAGCACTCGGCTTCATCCAGGGCCAGAATTATAAAGAAATGCTGCTTAGAGGAGATAGTGCTTTATTCTTGGGCTGAAGTACATTAGGTCATGAGATGCAATATTTTAAATGGTTTTTCAGTTCTTACAAGTGTTGACTCTGTGATCCAGGGTTAAGTAGAATTGAAGGACTGGCTTGCCAATCCAAAGATTTCTTATATCATTATTTCTGTGGGTTAAGATGTTCTCTGTTCTAAACAACTGGTAAATAATAATTAGAACACTTAGTGTTCTTTAATTTTGTACTTCCTGTGTTGTGTAAAGAGAAACCTCCCCTACCTGAATAATACATGGTAGAAATTGCAAAAACACGATATAGTTGACCTTGGATGTTTTCAGGTCTGAACAAGTGTCCCCCTGTTTGGGACCTATGCTTGCTTTCAGCTAAGTGCAGTTTGCCTGGAATAAACTACAGATGAAAGAACATACTTGGTGGAAATTCTATCACCCAAGAGAAATGTGAGGAAGGGAGGCGGGTCCCCCTAGCCTATTTGTGGATTTGTTTATACTCCCTCTGGTAGCTGATTCAGACCTGCATGTTCTGTCCCTTTGGCCTGAGAAGCAACAACACCCTACCTGATTCCAGAAGCCCAGAGTACTGCTGGGATGGTGGCCATGTCCACATGAGCAAAGGTATGAAGGCTCAGCATCTGTTTGGGTTTGGATTTTAACTAGCTATTGGCTTTGATGTTTGAAAACTCTTGATTTAAATTAATATATCTTATTCTGTTTGTGCCTAGCACACAGTTTGTGCTATATAGTCTTGTCGGACTTCATAGGATCATAGACTCCAGGCTCCTGTTACAGTTAGGCTCTTTTAGGTTTCGAGAAGCAACAATTAAATAAGGTTACAAGAGTACCCCAATGGGATAAGGATACTTGTGTCTAGGAACTTCTGTATAGCTAGGCCTTGGGAAATGCAAAATGGACAGAAGGTTCAAAGCTAGTGAGTATATAACCCTTAAGAGCAAGATTTTTGGGATTCAACAAACTCCCATCTCAGTTCCACTCCCTCCCTCTGCAGACTTTCTCATCATCTACTAATCCCTACCTTCCAGTTTCTGCTTGCTCATACTTCCTGCTCATCACATTGACTTGCATAGGGCCCATATTGTCATATGTGACTTCTCTCTACCTAATGACTTCTCAGTTTTAGCTCCCTTTGCAAATAGATCCCTTCTTTTGGTATTTCCTGTGTTTATTGTTAATAGAAGGAGAAATATAATCAGCTGAATTTGACTCTTAAAGCCAGGCTGTGTCAGATCACGTATTGGCTGCCTTGGATCAGGGTCCTACTCCTGGCCATGAATGGGCTTATCTTTGAATGGGCCACAGGCAGGGCAGCAGCCATAATTGGAGTATATAGTACACCCCTGAAAAGAACTTTGAACTCCTTCAGGCCGTCATATGGGAAAACTGGTACCCCTGAGAGCTGATGCAATGTACCTAAGATTATACACATAACAAGGGAGTGGTGATGGTAGGGTGAGACTCCTGATTTTCCACATACTGCTGAGGTTACCTTTACACTAAACTGCATGATCTGCTATGTTAAGTCATGTGGAAGGAGTGTTTTCATGCATAGACATCTTTTCACTCACCTATTGTGCTTGCAACTTGGAAACAAATGATCTCTTTCTGCCTCCTTCCCTCTCTCTCCTCCCTGTTCAGGAATCTTTTTTTTCCTATTAGAATTTATTCTTATTAGAAGCCATGGCTGGTCTATCTGCCAATGATTCCAAAGTCACTAAACTCAAACTAAGATTGACAGTGAAGTGTTTCACCAAGTAAGATTCATTCAGAAAAGGGAAATTATGCAGCAAACTTCAAATGAGAAAACTTGATAAATGAACCAAATTCTGAGTTGGTGAGGCCAACTAGAATGTAGGTAAGTTGTCGGCTGAAATATTTTGGCCTTTATTTATCTTTGACTGAAGATATTAGAACAACACTTTGGGGCCATCCAGATTTAGGACATGAAGTAGATACCTTCAATAGGCTGGGCTTGAAATTGGATTTAAAAGTCTACACTGTTTATAGGTCTCCCAAGACTTGCTTACTAGAAAAAAAATTATATGAAAATCCTGCTGTAACAATCACCTTGACAAATTTATTTATACTGATGGAATGCTTTAGTTAATGCAATGAGATTTTTAAACAGGAGAAAGAAAGCACTGCCATATTCACCCCTGGGCTTAACAGAATAACATGACTCAGTAAACCATCCATGCAGTTACTTGCTCATTTATTAAATATTTGTTGAAAGACTGCTATAAGATAAACACTGTATTGGGAATACAAGGATAAAGGAGACACAGTTGACCTCAAGAAACTTACAGTCTAGGACAAGAAAAAAGAGAATTACAATGCTAGAGCTGAAGAGTGTGGACATATCAGTCACAAAGGAGGCCATGCTAAGTCATCTAGCTGTCCTGTAGTAGAACTGAGTTGGCTGTGTGTCACATCCCATCAACTCTCTGATAATACTGTCCAGATGCCATGACCTCATAAGCAGATGACCCTTATGCTGTATGTCAGTTTCCTTTGAGTGAATGCTTCAGTAATTATATTGTATTCTGTTAAGGCTCATCATTGGATAGCAGCAAAGTGAGAAATCTTCATGGGCAAGAAGGATGATCTTTTCTGAAATCCAAGGTCATTCCCAGAAGGGTGAGTCCTTAGATAGGGACCCAGAACTCAAGGAGGAGCCTCAGGCATGTAAGAGAAAGCTTAGCCTCTCCTGTGCCCTAGGCTTGGCAGTATCCAGACATCTGAAATATGATGCTGGGAGGTGGGTCTTAAAGGTCAGAAAAAAGCAAGAAATAAAATAAAACAGAAATCAAAGAAGTATTTCTTCTTTTTCCTGGGTCCTACGTGGATGGGAAAAGATGAGTGAGCTTCAAAAAGCAATGCATGCTTTGTGGGCAAGATTGTGCAGCCTCATGGTACTCTGTGTTTAAAGTCCTTTGACCAGCCTCCAGTCCAGTGCTCATCTAGGAGTAGTCAGGAGCCACCTGTGTCAGATTCTTCTAGGGCACTGGGTAAACATGCACAATTCTAAGATCTACCTCAAATTCACACCTCTAAATCATGGTGGAGAGGGAGTTTTAATGAGCATTTTAGAAGTTCCCCTTAAGTTTGAGATTCCCTGGTCTTGACTTTATTGAGATCTTTGTGAAGTTTAATATAGTCAAAATGCTTCTGCTCACCAAGCAATGTGTCTTCTAGTGTCATATTTGGAGATACTATATTTTATTATCACATGTGTTTGTATTTTATTTTATTACTTGGACTCTGACATTTCACTCATTAAAATGTTCCTGTATCATGCAACTAGTCTAGGCCAGGGTTAGCAAACTTTTTCAGTAAATGTTCAATGTTTTCCATTTTGTGGGTTATACAGTCTCTGTAATCAGTACTAAACTGTTACTGCAATGCAAAAGCAGCCAGAGACAATATTTAAACAAATGGATATGATTGTGTTCCAATAAAACTTTATTTGCAAAAATAAGGGCCTGATAGGATTTGGCCTATGGGCAATAGTTTGCAGACCCCTATCTAAGCCATTAGACAACTAAATATTGTAGAATCTCCCTGAATGGAACTACTCTGTCCTATAATAGTAAAATAGTTGCAAAAAATGAAAACCTGCTGAAGTTATTTTAATGATTCTCAAACTTGAAGGTATATAAGAATTCCCTTGGAAGATTTGTTGAAGTATGGATTGCTAGGCCCACTAGCAGAATTTCTGATGTAGTCGATCTGGAGTAAAGCCCAAGAATTTGTATTTCCAACAAGTTCCCAGATGATATTGATGATGCTGATCCAGGGCCCACATTTTAAGAACCATTGCCTTGAGTAAAGGGGAAAAGGTTATTAATAGAATTTGTGTGAAAATTAGGAGTTTCAGTCGCAAGGCCAAGAACACAAGATCAGTTTCGCAGGGGTCCACCCAGAGACTTGGAAGAATTCCTTCTGCTGTAGGAACTAAGTTACCATAGGGCTATTCGTACTTGCCAGTATGTGGTTCTCTATCCTCTAGATTTCTGCTTCCATCAAATTTGATCAAGTGATTTCTCTGTCAGGATAAACTTCTATTTTTACACATGCTCTTAAAGTCCAAACTTCTTAACCTGACTCATAAGGCCTTTTATGATCTTCCAACACACTTCATCACTCTATCCTCATTCCTGCCATCCTCTATTGGTACACAATAGGGACTCTGGATTTTTCCTCTGGATACTCTCCATATCATAATGTATCCCTTGTATAAATACCCATCTGCTCTGTTGACTGTGAGGACTGGGACTGTATTTCTCTTGTTTTATCACCAGTGACTTGCACAGCCAATGTTCAGTAAATATTATATGAATGAACAAATGAGTAATTTCTTCATCAGATTTGCTATCAGATACAAGGGAAGAGGTGCACTCAGGGACAGAGTGTAGGTAAAAGCCTTTTTGGAACTGATGACCCAGGAATATTTATAGTAATGACACTTAAAAGTGGAGAGGGACCACAATGAGATAATATGTCACATTCACTAAGATGGCACTAACCAAAAAGACAGATAATAATAAAGGTCGGTGAGGTCGTGGAGATACTGGAACCTTCATTTAGAGCTGATGGGAACTAAAATGTTGTTACTTTGGAAAAACAGTTTGGAAAGTCCTCAAAATGTTCAATATGAAGTTACGATATGACCCAGACCTTCCACTCATGTGTGCCTATCCAAGAGATGTGAAAACACATATTCATGCAAAAACTTGTACTCAGATGTTCATAGCACCATTATTCATAGTAGCCAAAAGGCATGAACAACTCAAATGTCCATCAACTGATTAATGGATAAACAAAATGTGTATTTATACAATGTAATATTATTCAGTCATAAAAAGGAATGAAGTACTGATACCTGCTACAACATGTGTGAAACTTGAACATGTTATGCTAAAGGAAAGAAGCCAAACACAGAAAGCTACATCTTATATAATTCCATTTATGTGAAAAGGCTGGAATAGACAAATCTATAGAAACAGAAAGTAGATTAATGTTTGCCAAAGGTTGAAAGAAAGGAAGAATGAGAGCAACTGCTAGTGGGTATGGGACTTCCTTCTGGTATAATAAAAACGTTCTAAAATTAGGTAATATTGGTAGTTACACAATTGTAAATACCCAATGGTGTGTAAATTATATCTCAATAAATCTGTCTTTAAAAAGTGGGTGGGAAATTGCTCAGATAGGTGCTAGAAGAAAGAGTGGAGTCAACTCCACGTTCAAAACTTGCTCCTGTATCTATTTTGACAACAAAGTAGAGCTTTGGGATAGCTTGTCTGACAATCGAGGTCATATATATATATATATATATATATATATATATATATCCATACAGCTTAAAATATAGTGAGTTGTCATTAAATTTTTTTGACTGATTGATCCAATAATATTAAGATGGCACTTAATATTCTTAAATTCTTAATATTCCTTTTTTTCCACAAAAGCTCAATATCTTGAGTATTTAGCAGAACTTCATGTACTCCATAACTCAGTCTATTCTTATTGACTAAAGTAATGAATTTCCTCAAAATGCTAAAATTGCTTCTGTTGAAAAACAAAGCAAAGCACAGCCTAAA